TCCTTTAGGATTGACTGATTTGATCTCCTTGCTGTCCAAGGGACTCTCAAGAGTCTTCTCCAACACCACAGTTCAAAAGCATCAATTCTTTGGTGCTCAGCTTTCTTCACAGTCCAACTCTCACATCTATACATGACCACTGGAAAAAAACATAGCCTTCACTAGACAGACTTTTGTTGGCAAAGTAATGTCTCTGCTTTTTAATATGCTGTCTAGGTTAATCATAGCTTTTCTTCCAATGAGCAAGCCTATTTTATTGGCTGCCGGACCCTCTGCAGTGATTTTGGAGCCCAAGAAAATAAAGTCTGTTACTGTTTCCATTGTTTTCCCATCTGTTTGCCATGAAGTGATTGAACCAGATTGCCATGATCTTTGTTTTCTGAATATTTTTTTGTAAGCCAACTTTTTCACTCTCCTCTTTCACTTTCATCGAGAGGTTTTTTAGTTCCTCTTCATTTTGTGCCGTAAGGATGTTACGGTGTTACCTTCATGTCTAAGGTTGTTGATACTTGTCCTGGCAGTCTTGATTCCAGTTTGTGCTTAATCCAGTACAGCATTTCACATAATGTTCTCTGCATGTAAGTTAAATAACAGGATTACAGCAAACAGCCTTGATGTATGCCTTTCCCAGTTTTGAACCAGTCTGTTGTTCCATGCCTGGTTCTAACTGTTGCTTCTTGACCTGCATACAGATTTCTCAGGAGGCAAGTAAGGTGATCTGGTATTTTTATCTCTTTCAGAGTTTTCTATAGTTTGTTGTGATCCACGTTGGCAAAAGATTTAGCATAGTTAATGAAGCAGGAATAGAATTTTTTTCTATAATTCTCTTCCTGTATATAATTAACCTATGATGCCATTTTTATATAAGTTAAATAGTACAAAATTAACAACAAAAGCTATAATAAAATAGAACAATTACAAAAATATGTTTTAATAAAAGTTATGTGAGTATAATCTCTCAGAAATCATTTTGCACAGATATAATGCCTTTTCCATCTTAACTGGAGCACTTATGCACTGAGGCTGTAACTTGCAGTTTGAGGTATGACAGGAAAACTATCATGAATTCTTTTTCCTTCACAATTTCATGGATTCATTCTTACTGTAGATCTTAGCAACTTTAGAACATGTCTTTTTTTCTCACTAAGTTGACTTAAGGCTTCTCTTTGTTATATTTGAATTGCCAGCATCACTACTCTTATGCTTTGATTTCATTATTAAGTAAAACAATGATTACTTGAGCACAGGCACTGTAGTGCCATGACAATCAATCTGAAAACCAAGATGACTACTAATAGTGATTAATGGGCAGGTAGTGTATACAGCTTGGACGTGATGGACAAAAGGGATGGTTCACATCTAGGATGGAGCAGCATGGTGCAAGGTTTTGTTACACTACTCAGAATGGCATGGGATATAATATCTGTGAGTTGTTTATTTTTGGAACTTTCCATTTAATTTTCAGACTGCTGTTGACTGAAGGTAACTGAAACTGGGGAAAGTAAAACAATGAAAAAGGGGGGATTAATGTAGTCTTGATTGCTATGTCTTCAAGTTCACTTATTTCTTGCTCTTTGGTATTTAATCTGTCACTCATCCCATTCAGTGTATTTTTCATCCCAGGTATCTTAGCTTTCACCTCTTGAAGGTAATTGAATCTTTTAAAAATCTTCTATATCTAAATTTTTGAATATACAGAATAACTGTTTTCATGTCCTTGTCTATTGATTCTATCATCTATATTACCTTTGGGTTCATTTCATTTGATAATTCTTCTCATAATAGATCATGCTTTTTTGTTTCTTTGCATGCTTGGTAATTTGGTTGAATGCCAGATTATGATTTGATTTTTTGGGGTTTTGGAAATTTTTGTATTGCTATAAATAACCTAGAGGCATTTTTTTTCTTTTTCTTCTGAGTTGCAGCTGAGCTGTTTGGAGACAGTTTGATTCTTCTAGGTCTTTAATCATGTGTCTTGGAGCAGTTCTTCAACATCTAGGGCACTGCTAGAGGCACTCTTTTCCACTGGTAAGGCACTGTTTTCCCAGGTACTACATCCAGTCTGTGTGACTTTTTAGTTTTTCTGAGCTGACTCATGTCAGCAAGTACTGTTTCCACCCCATTAAAGGACATTTTTCCCTTTAATCTATTCCGGTGTTTGTTTTCCTTGCTTAAGGTGGTTTCTTGGCATTCATTTGTAAATCAGTATTGAGCTGAATCAGCGGGGACACTCTGCCTACCTCAGTGCTCTCTTGTGATTCTCCTGGAAATTCTACCTGCTTTGGTCTTCCTGGACTCTCAACTTTGTCTCCTGCACTCAGGGGATGCATTCCATTCTGCCTGAATTCCCCTCCTACCTCATTCCCTAAAGCCCTGATAAGCAGTAAACTAGA